ATATTTGATCCCAAAAGTACTCCATAGCCTTCTCTGGTCATATATAACCTGCAAAGCATGAAAAACACTAATAAGAGCATTTTGTTATCACTTTTATCATCCAAACTATACAAGAAGGTGGTTATTTAGGGCCTAATTATAGTTAAATTCACCTATTATCAATTGCATATTGGAAAATCTATGAACCATAGCAGCAGAGAAGACGAAGAAAAAAGTGAAAGCAATTATAAATATGTTACCTTTGCATCTTGTAATACCAACTCTATCGAATAAGGTATTTCGGGCTTGTAGTGATCCGGGATTTCCCACATTCGAACTACTCTAACTTTCAAATCCCATTGCATGGCGTTGCTTGAAATTTGTCTGATGTCATGAAGTTTTGTAGCCATATATGTAAAGTTCGTATTCTGACCAAAGCAAAAAGAGAATGGAAAAGGAATTAAAAGGAGTCACATAAAACTGTTGATGTAGTTATGGAGAAAGTGGATAAGTTGTGGAGTAATGGTGGGATACCCACGTTTGGGAAGATGATCGTAGTTATTTAAAAAAAAATATTTTGTCCGATTTATTTTTGAAATCTATTCATATTGCACATTATCCTATTCCAAACGTGGGAGTAACTCCAGACGTGATTGAAGTAATTTTTTTGTTTAATTTACAGGTTTAACAAATTAAAAAGTAGACCAACAAACGTGGGAGTCAAAGTATAGATGTATACTAAATTGGGAGTTTTAAAGTCTATAAACTTCTGTAAACCAATTAAAGAAGTTCTAAACATTTTGAACTTCTTTTAACAAATTTAAAAAACCGCAACTGCATTAGCATATTTAAATATTTATTTGAAATAATTTTAAATTATTTTTGAACTTCCAAATTAATTGGAAGTTTGTCCAAAAATTAGACACATGTTTAATTTATGTAGGATCAGTAGTTTCCTCAACTATTGTCCTCTGCGTAAATGTCAGCCTCAAATTGTGTGTTGTAGTCTTTAATTTCAAATTATTTGGCCCGACAACAAAGTAGGTCATGCGATATAAGCCGAGTTCATGTATCTTATTCTTAAAGAACTTTATAACATACTTCCCAATTGAGGCATGTATACGATCACCCTAGAAAATCATATTAATTGTTAGGATGTATTAGATTGGTAAAAATTGTTAATGCTGGAAATTAGTAAACAATTGTCAACAAACATTGTAAAGTTTTTTTGTCTGAATGTGCATATTTTTAGAATTTGCAGTAGCTATAGAGATTATACAATTGTCAACAAACATTGTAACTTCCATTGGCAGAATATATGCATATTGTTATATTTTGTAGCAGTTTTAGGAGGAACATCATATTTTTTTATCAGATGGATTATATAAGATGTAATATATTGTTAATATTATGTTTTTGCTGGAAAGAAGTAAACAATTATCAATCAGATGTTCGCACATAATCACTTCAAGTTGGTAGTTTCATTTTTTTGAGGATTATTGGAAACTAATAAACGATTGCATATTGGAAAATCTATGAACCATAGCAGCAGAGAAGACGAAGAAAAAGTGAAAGCAATTATAAATATGTTACCTTTGCATCTTGTAATACCAACTCTATCGAATAAGGTATTTCAGGCTTGTAGCGATCCGGGATTTCCCACATTCGAACTACTCTAACTTTCAAATCCCATTGCATGGCGTTGCTTGAAATTTGTCTGATGTCATGAAGTTTTGTAGCCATATTTGCAAAGTTCGTATTCTGACCAAAGCAAAAAGAGAATGGAAAAGGAATTAAAAGGAGTCACATAAAACTGTTAATGTAGTTATGGAGAAAGTGGATAAGTTGTGGAGTAATGGTGGGATACCCACGTTTGGGAAGATGATCGTAGTTATTTAAAAAAAAATATTTCGTCCGGTTTATTTTTGAAATCTATTCATATTGCACATTATCCTATTTCAAACGTGGGAGTAACTCCAGACGTGATTGAAGTAATTTTTTTGTTTAATTTACAGGTTTAAGAAATTAAAATAAATAGACCAACAAACGTGGGAGTCAAAGTATAGATGTATATTAAATTGGGAGTTTTAAAGTCTATAAACTTCTGTAAACCAATTAAAGAAGTTCTAAACATTTTGAACTTCTTTTAACAAATTTAAAAAACCGCAACTGCATTAGCATATTTAAATATTTATTTGAAATAATTTTAAATTATTTTTGAAATTGGAAGTTCGTCCAAAAATTAGACACATGTTTAATTTATGTATTGACACTTGGCACAATAATATGGCTTTGCTTCTCCTATTCTATATAGATAGAAGATTACTAAAATATTACAAAATGATCTAATAAGATAGATATACTGTGTACTCAAGAGGATGAATGCCCCAACAGAGAGGAGAAAGAAGATTTCCCGAAGTTAATTTCTTGACTGACTTGTACCGATTCCAATTGTATATTTGAAGCATTTCTCAGAACAATTTTAAATTATATGATTTCTAAGATATCGAAGAGATATTTGTCATCTATATTGATATTTTAAAACTTAGACACTCGATATAATTGATCGACTCTAGTGTTCGAATCCTCTTGCCCAGTTACGTTTTTTCTTCTTCTCCAAAGTGCATAATTATGAACTCAAGTTTTGTTAGGCTTTAAAAGTGCATAAATATGAACTTAAATTTTGTTAGATATATTGGCAAACCAGACAGAATTTTAGACACTGCTCCTCCATCTAACTCGGCCTTATTGACATATTTGTTTGAAAAATCAATTTACAAATAGAATTAATCTCTGAGTTATAATTTTAGCACATTACGCTATCACACAATTTTGGAATGAAATGGACTGTAGTAAAGTGGATTCATACAAATTACATTAACTAACTTGAGATAAAGGCGTAGTCCTTTCCATTCTAGAATGTTAGTTTACTGTTGATAATTTAAGTCCTTCCCAATTTTTACGTTCAATACTTAAAATTGAGAAGTAGTTATGCTTCAAGCTATTCTTTACAAATTAATGGTCCAGCATGAGGAAATAAGTCACGAATCTACTAATTCGATAACATGTTTGCCATACTTTATAGTGTCTAATAAAAAGAAATGGGAGGCAATTATTGCTTGATCAAGGTACAAATAATAACTAAACAAAAACCATTAATAAACGCAACACAGTGAATAAAGCTTCCCGCATTCACGTAGGATTCGGGGAAGGGCCACACCCCTAAGGATGTGATGTAGACAACGTACTCTAATGCAAGCATTAATGGTCCCTTCCACGATTCAAAACAGTGACATATAAATCACACGGAGATAGTTTTACAATTAATCCAAAGCTACCTTTAAACAAAAACCATTCAAGTTATAAGATTGCTCTCTTATAACTCCACTGGGGCATTGAACTTTCAAACAGACGTGCAAAGATCATACCTAACTGTGACTCATCAACCATACTAGCTCTTACTTTCTATTTTTCACACATAATAAAAAAAACTCCTTATATAAGGAATCTCATATACAAAAAAACACTTATGTAGAAGCTTCTTTCCAATATCTACAAACTAGACCTACAAGATATAACTACACAAGGGTTAGATACAAACAGTTCTTTTTTTTTCTATATCTACAAACTAGACCTGCAAGATAAAACTACACAATGTTTAGATACAAACATAGCAAAGCCTATGCATCCTCAGCATCACTGATACTCGGACGAGTATCGATGTAGAATTCAGTGTCAACGCCATCAATGATCCTATCTCTGTTAAAATACAATCAGAAGAGCATTGTAATGTTTTATAGAAGATATGCAAAACAGACGGACATTTTCAAGTATAAATACAGAATGTGAACAAACATGGGAAAAAAGGACACACCTTTCGAGGACAAACTTCCCTTCTTTATACTTCTGGCTTTCCTCATGTGCAGACTCCTGCATGATAGAAGTGCAGAATGCAAGTCGTTAACAAATTTAACAAACTTCCCGGTGTAGGTATCATGCATGTGCAATTGGTAACAAGTATATGGTCAGAGGAGTAACTATTTCCATCCTCTTTTTGTTGCGCGCATATTCACATACTTGTGAGCTACATGCAGGGGAAAGAGAGAAGAAGGAAAGAGAGGAAATACATATTTCCAGCCAACAATTTGCCCACAACAGCAACAAAATATGTCCGCTACAGTGTGCATCCCAGAAAGCATCACCCTCTCTTCATGAGGTCCAACAGTTACATTCACCCTGGATCACAGAATAGACAGACAGGTCAGACCTCTGCATTTATTGCAAAGGAGCATAATTCGGTAAAGAGATAATGATGCTAGTAAATATATTATCTATTGCACCGTGCAGAAGGCCAGATGAAGAATATGATTTACCTAGATGACGTTTTCCTCTGGAAATCTGATCGAAACTAAAATAAATAACTGATTACTTTTTTCCTCTAAACACATCAGTTCCTACTATGATGTAAACTAATCCATCCTTTATTGAGCAACTATAAATGACTCAGCTTTTCCTATCAACAGATAATCTTAAGACAAGATAGCAACACCTTAGGAAGTCACTGCAGAGTGCTCTCTTACCATTTACTACCACTCTTTAACTCGGTCTACAGCTTCCTCATTTGAAGTGAGGAACACAGCAATTGTTTGCCAATTTTTAGCATTTCAATCCAGCATATATCATCCTGTATTTGGACTTACCTAAGTGGATTACCTATCAATTTGGAGATCTAGACATGGGCAATGAAAACTCGATCTAGTGTTGCTGATCATAACATACTACCCGGACAGCCAGGTTACTTTAAGGGAGCTGAACTCTAGAAGACAGATATGATATAAGAAAATATACAATATTTCAAATATTAGAAACAGTAATCAATAATTTCTATCCAAATAACGCTTCAGCTCAATACTCATCCACAATGCACATACTCAAGTTGCTGATGTTTAGTGCGCGGATAAGTTAGCTTTTTAGCTAATTTCTCCAATATTTTGATAAAGTTTTATGCCCTATTTATTGGAACAAGTTGACAAATTATGCTTTGAATGGTGTACTTTCAGGTTTTGAAGTTGTGTGAGAGCTTAGAGATTGAAAAACATCAATTATCCGCAAGAAAGGGATCAATTTCAAGCCAAAAATGCTGAAAAACTAAAATATGTAGCCGGAGACCATGCGTAGCTACACAGGGCCTCGCGTAGCTACACAACAAGAGGACCTGGAGAACTGAAAATTTGGGGAATCACTAAAATCAGATACGCACAATAGCGTAGCTATGTAGCATAAGTCCATCTACGCAGAGGAAGAAGCTGTTGTGCGTAGCTACGCAGGCATCCAAGGGGCAATTTTGNTTAGTGCGCGGATAAGTTAACTTTTTAGCTAATTTCTCCAATATTTTGATAAAGTTTTATGCCCTATTTATTGGAACAAGTTGACAAATTATGCTTTGAATGGTGTACTTTCAGGTTTTGAAGTTGTTTAGTGCGCGGATAAGTTAACTTTTTAGCTAATTTCTCCAATATTTTGATAAAGTTTTATGCCCTATTTATTGGAACAAGTTGACAAATTATGCTTTGAATGGTGTACTTTCAGGTTTTGAAGTTGTGTGAGAGCTTAGAGATTGAAAAACATCAATTATCCGCAAGAAAGGGATCAATTTCAAGCCAAAAATGCTGAAAAACTAAAATATGTAGCCGGAGACCATGCGTAGCTACACAGGGCCTCGCGTAGCTACACAACAAGAGGACCTGGAGAACTGAAAATTTGGGGAATCACTAAAATCAGATACGCACAATAGCGTAGCTATGTAGCATAAGTCCATCTACGCAGAGGAAGAAGCTGTTGTGCGTAGCTACGCAGGCATCCAAGGGGCAATTTTGTCACAACTTTTAGACGACTATATATAGATTCATAGTTGATTTTCTTAGCTCATCTTTCATTCTCTTGTATTTCATACCAGCTTTTAGCTATTTTGGGAAGGATTGAAGGATATATTCATCATAGTGTTTGAATTTTCTTATTCTTTTAGTTTTATATCTTTTCATCTCAACTCTTATTTTCCATTTCTAGTACGAGTAGCAAACACCCATAGTTGGGGTTATAAACTCTTATGGTATTAATGTGATTGGGTCTTTGTTTATCTTGCTTATTATCTATTTGTTTTCATCAAGTTTACACACTTCTCGACACTTTAGAACGCGCCTACTCCTTGTGAAATTCGACCCCAACCTAGTTGGTTTTATTATTGTTAATGACCGTGCTACGCTTCACTTAAGAGGTGTAGGATTGGACGTCATTAATTTTTGGGGCCATTACTGGAGATCGATCCCGGGTCACCCGCCCGACAGGCGCGGGGCCTTGCGTAGCTACGCAAGATCTCCAGCTATATATTTCAACATTTTTGGCTTGAAGTTGATCCCTTTCTTGCGAATAATTGATGTTTTTCAATCTCTAAGTTCTCACACAACTTCAAGACCGGAAAATATACCAATCAAAGCATAATTAGTCAACTTGTTCCCATAAATGGGGAATAAAACTCTATCAAAACACAAGAGAAATTAGCTAAAACTAACTTATCAACTCCCCCAAACTTAGTCAACTTGTTCCCATAAATGAGGAATAAAACTCTATCAAAACACGAGAAATTAGATAAAATTAACTTATCAACTCCCCCAAACTTAGTCAACTTGTTCCCATAAATGAGGAATAAAACTCTATCAAAACACGAGAAATTAGATAAAATTAACTTATCAACTCCCCCAAACTTACACTTTTGTGTGTCCTCCAGTAAATCAAAAGTCAACAACGAGCAACACTAAGGCCTCCAAATTTGCCTCTTCATCACACAACTTCTTTTGTTCATTCATCTCAATTGGGAGAAAAAAACTTCATAACTCAAGTTTTCATGTGCACTCACCATCAAAAGAGGATCCCCCACACACACAATATGCATTTCAAAATAAAAGTGGGATGTCAAATAAAAAGAATTAAGCACTCTCTCACAAAAAATATTCAAATGCTCAAAAGTGGTACCATAGGCTTGCCCCTTGTGTAAATCATCACTAATGTAGGTACACCAAGTTCAAAATCATCTAGGATCTGCGGGAATGTAATGTAGGATTTTTGTTAGAGGTAGCATATCAATTTGGGTAATAAGTGACAACGACCTTCCTGAGCACTACACTTTCAACAATTCAAAGCACATTTCTTTTCAAAATTCCACCCTTTTTGCTCATTTTTCAACTTCGAACACTTTTTCACCCCTTTTATATCACAACTCTTTTTCATCAATTTTTTTTTAATGCATTTCTCTTCTTTTTTTTTTTGTGAATATGTATAGGTAGGGTATCAATATGGTAAAATCACTTTCACCTCCAATTCAACTTCATTTAGCTTCCACCATACTCCTTTCCTATCTCCTCCCCCAAACTTAGGCTAAGAGCCTAAGTTGTAGCTTCAATTGCTCAAGAAGGTCGATCAAAAGAGGTCAAGACAAAAGGGGAAAGGCTTGTAATGTGGTTGCCAATGGAAAGGCTAAAGGCTCAAGGGGGGTTGTCTAGGGTAAACATGCAAAAGGTAGGCAGTTTAAGACACAAGTGGTCCAAGAAAAGCCTAAAATCATTTTCAAACCAAGTGCAACCTAGGATTTTTTCTTGAAACACACTTAGGAACCTCACTGCTCATGGCACATGTGAAACTCAAGTAGACCAAAAATAAAGCATCGTTATGTGCAAATGGCATCATGAACAACCCCCCAAACACAAAAATTTGCACTGCCCTCAATGCAATTAAAATAAAAGTTAGGGGAAAGGTACAGAAAACTCCCTCAATCCAAGTGTGGTGGCATCCGAGCCGATCTAAACTCCTCAACACTAAGTTCTCCTAGACGCAATGTCCTAACCACAATGGTGCAAGAGTGAGCAGACACAACTGTGTGCTTATCAGTAGGCAGCTCACTCTCTCATCCTTGTCTAAAGCTTATCTCCAATGGTATCCCCGATTGTATTGTGCCGCTTGAAACATCACCAAACTTCGCAATGCTGACTCCGTTGGTGCTAAAATTTGCATGTGCCAAATGCCTCAAAAGGGAACATTGGATGGATACGTCAAGGTTGTCACCCTGTCATTTGTGTTCGAACGGATGAGCCAATCTATTGAACCTCCTTTATAAACTCTATAGTATTCAGTAAGTAGCCAACACAAGGCATGTCAAGAGTGCCTTAGAGCACTAATAGAAGGAGTTATGCTTGAATGAGGTAGTATTTCGAATGTGGCTGGAGTTTCAGCTAAACAAGTGGTTGACTTTGAAACAATAAGAGATGTGGTAGAGCCACCGGGGGTAATGGTGACAGTGGTGTCAGGGGGTGGCAATGATGGTAGAGTAGGAGCTCTTGATGGTTTCTTCTTCTGTGGTGCACTAGTAGCTACTTTTCTTTGATGTGCCTTATGATATGGACTAGAATAGGAGTGGATTGAGTAGGCACCTTATACTTTTTGAGGAGATTGGTTATATAACCAGGGACATGGCATAACATCTGTGCTACTAGAGAATTTATTTCACAACTCCTTCACGATTACCTGACGCACATCTATAGGCTATGTTGACATAATTAGTGCAATGAGGATGGTGTTTGTTGAAAGAGCTCAGAGTAATTCTTTGTTGGCATTAATCTGTTACACACAAAAGCGGTCCAAGCCAAAGCGGTGTTGTTAAAAACCCATCATATGTATTCCCCTGAAGTTATTTGTGTTGGATCTGGCTCATCCTTCTTCACGATCCTTGCTGCTCAGACTCTATTAGAAGCAAGATTAACTTTATGCAAAGAGGTGTTAAACTGACTTTGATCTTGCAATGTAAATCTCAATTGATTGTTGAACTCTCGTGCATTAAATAGGATGCTCACACCTCTAGTTTTGAATTTAGACACTGCCTCTAGCTCCTCCTTTTTCAAAGCATAAGCGTGAGCAAAAAACTTCATCACAAGTGTCTCATTGATAGGCAAAGATTATGTGAGGGGTAACCATTTCCTTTGTACTAACCCATCATAAAATTCTGAGCAATTTTCTTTAGCATTGTCCACAATGAGAACCTCAGTAAGCGATCTGTCTTGTAGCTCTTCAAATGCTTGTATCTCTTTACGAAGTATCATTAAGTCCTCGCCCTTTGGCTCAGCTTGTTGCAACAACATATATACAAATATCAGCACTTATTTTGTTTGTTGATATTAATCATCTTATGA